ATTACTATGCAAAATACAGAATATGATAACATGTAATGCTAATAAACTACTATACAGATTAAACAAAATGTAGAAACTGATGAATGACAATACAGAATAAATAAAATGATGCAGCATAAGCACTCATTTCTGGCAGTGGAAACAGGAAGGTGAGGGTGATAGGGGAGGCTCTTGCGAGAGCCGAAGCTCGTGTTGACCCCTGTGGGGGTTTGAGCTTTGGGTGATGCTAAGATGGAGCAAAGAGGTTAGTTGAGAGTCAAGGCAAGGAGTTAAGAGATTGGAGGGAACAGCAGAAGCGCTTATCGCTGGCAGGGCATACAGAAAGGAGAGGTTGATAGGTGAGGTTCTTATGAGAGCCACAGCTTGCGTTGACCCCTGCAGGAGTCTGAGCTTAGGGTGATGCAGATAGAGCAAGGACGTTATGAGAGGGCCAAAGACAAGGAGTGAAGAGCTAGGAGGAAACAGCGGAAGTACTCAACCCTGGCAGGGATAACAGAAAAGAGAGGGTGAAAGGGGAGGCTCTTGGGAGAGCCGAAACTTGTGTTGACCCCTACAGGAGTCTGAGCTTTAAGCAGATTGAGCAAGGTGGTAACAAGAGAGCCAAAGGCGAGGGGTAAAGAGCTAGGAGGGAACAGTGGAAGCACTCAACACTGGCAGGAGGAACAGAAAGGAGAGGGTGAAAGGTGAGGCTCTTGCGAGGGCCGAAGCTCGTGTTGACCCTTGCGAGAGTCTGAGCTTGGGTGATGCAGATAGAGCAAGGAGGTTATGAGAGGGCCAAAGGCAAGGAGTGAAGAGCTAGGAGGAAACAGCGGAAGTACTCAACGCTGGCAGGGATAACAGAAAAGAGAGGGTGAAAGGGGAGGCTCTTGCGAGAGCCGAAGCTCGTGTTGACCCTTGTGAGAGTCTGAGCTTGGGTGATGCAGATGGAGCAAGGAGGTTACCAGAGAGCCAAAGGCAAGGGGTAAAGAGCTAGGAGGGAACAGCGGAATTACTCAACGCTGGCAGGGGGAACAGAAAGGAGAGGGTGATAGGGTAGGCTCTTGTCAGAGCCAAAGCTCATGTTGACCCCTGCGAAATCTGAGCTTAGGGTGATGCTGATGTAGCAAGGAGATTACATGAGAGTCAAAGGCAGGGAGTAAAGAACTAGGAGGAAACAGCAGAGGAACTCAATGCTGGCAGGGGGAACAGAAAGAGGGTCATGTTAAGCTCTGCGAGAGCTGAAGCTCATATTTACTCCAACGGGAGTCTGAGCCGTGAGGGGGTTTGCTAGGGATGGACAGATAGATGGCTTTGGCTTGAGAATAAAGGGGTGGCCAAGATTGGGCTGAGAGGTTTGAAAGAAACAACTTGGGTTCTTTGAGATGAGAAGACTGAGGCGAATGTAGGATTTGAAAGGCTTCAGAGAACCAATGACCAAGGGTCTGGATCTGGTGCTGGGAAAGCCTTTTAATAATGCCAATTCTGAATGAATGGCTGGAGATTGGTTCGGGAGGAAATCCTGAGAGGTGGACAACTTTGAGGTGTTTCTGGAACCAGAGATGTGATACTGGACGATTAGCGTCATCAGTAAAAAGGGGGGCTAGGGGGTTTGTTTCTTATAATCCTCGAGTGTAGGTATACTAGAGAGTCTGGACTGGGTGGGTGAGGGCAGGAATGTTGAAGATGTAAATGAAATGTTCTGTCAATAGATCTATCTTACTTTGCAGGACGAGGAAACCCTTTCTTTCCTCATCACACAAAATTAGATCTGCTATGGTGGGTTGGAGTGAGGGTTTAAATGTTACATGCTGTGATGTGTGACTGAAGGGTCTGAAGGTTACTACTTTAATGGTAAGTGATATGGAGTTTGGTGGAGGTTATAATGGGGTGGCTTAAGGTAATGTCATTTGTGGAAAGGGATGGACAGGCGTTGAGTTGGGGTCCACTTCTGTAGCCAGTGACCAAAGTTTCTGGAAAGAAAATGAGAGAGAGTCAGTGATTTGGTTTTGCAACCTGGCACGTATTATGCAGACATGATAAATTGACTAATGTCAAATAAGACATCTTAAAAGTAGCATTAAAGCTAAGAGAGTAGGAACGCCTTTGTCTATGCATTATATTGTTTCTTCCTCAACACAATAAATGAGAATCCTAGAGGTGGACCATTCGTCTCCCCATAGTATGGCGGCAGCGACTATTGGGTACAGTTTGAAGAAAGCTGATGAACAATGGTTTCTAGAGTGGAAATAGATTGAGGGGGCCATGTGGTGGCAACCAGTGGCCTCTGAGTACCCTTGGAACCCAACTGATGGGGTAGCACCAGTAAATAGACAAATATCTAATGGGGGTGCGAACAATCTCTGCAGAAGAAGGAACAGCCGTTCCATAGCTTAAGGAAGCAATCCATAAGCGGAGTTCATTGTGGGTGGGTTTTGAGAGAGAAATTGTGCCTTTTAAATCGTGACTTGTGGTAGGGAGCTGGAGTAGGCAAGTTTGAGGTAAATTTGCACTGTGAATTTTAGGTGGCCGAGGATAGATAACAGTATGTGTTTAATTCAAGTCTCTTTCTTATAATACAAGATAAAGAGAAATTATTCAGCCAATTTTCTCTTTAGGAAGAGAAGCTTGGAATTTGAGCAAATCGAAGTTGATGCCTAGAAATTCGATAAATGTATTGGGTCCAGCCTTCTGCGAGCAGAATACCTAGATTGGCGAAAACCTTTTGGTGATCTCTAGGTGTTTGGCTGGAGGCAATGTGGGGGGGGGGGGGGGGGGGGTGATTAGAATATCATCTAAAGTTGGATAAGGTGGGGGATTCTGCAATTGTTAGAAAGAAGCCAGTGATGGAGAATTTGCAAGTTGCACTGCTTATGGGACAAATGCGTGAAACCTTGAGTGGTGGGGCAGAGAATGGTCAAACATAAAGTGGTTGTCGATCTCTTTTTAAATAAGATGATCCACAATTTCTGGTTCAATCAGCAAAAGCTGACTGAATATTAGGATAGGAAGGGAGAGCTGAGGTGCCCGGGTGGAATCCATAGGTTAGACCTGAAATGAGAAAATCAGAAAAATTAGTGGTGAGAACGCAGTTCTCTAGCGAGGTGAGGAATCGACAGACAGATAGTGTTTTAAATGTTTTGGTAGACGTTCATTCCCCCCCAGGATAGTGGAGGGCCAAGGATATTGAGCATGGCTTGGCTGGTGATCTTAAAAATACCTCTTTAAAGTGGAGTAGGTGAAGTGATAAGTTTAAATTCCTGTGACATATTACGATCGGACTTCTATGATCGATGTGATGCTTATTGTCATTAGGTGGGTAATTTTATTTTAGAAGTTAAATAGCTATTGGAAGTGGCAGGGTTTGTTTATTTATATGCATGTTTATTTATTTATGTTAGTTATTTGTTTAATTTATTTATTTATTTAACTTCAAAAATGATGTTGTCATTTAATTTGCACTTGAACAATACTTATTAAACTGTGTCAATTAAATGTTTACTATGGGCTTTACTTTAATCTGATTGATTAAATAACATTACATTTGGAATCTTAACATGAATGAAATCAGAAGCATAAATGGCCCAATTCATTCACAAGGTCTTTGCAACCAAGTCTGTTCATAACTATCGTAAGAGAGGGCGGGACCATCTCATGTTCTGACAGCTTGGATGGTGACACTTCTCTTTTCAGCTATTGGCTCAATGAAGTGTCAATCAAAAGGTCGGCAGCCATTTTGTTAGACCATAATACAAGTGTTTTTGTCTGAAAGATACTACTTTACTGAAAGCACTCCAGCAACAAGTTTGGATGACAGCAGTGTACCCATGTATGTTTATAAACATGTAAACATGTTGTGGACTAAAGTTTTATGGATTGGATTGCTTTGATCCTTGCAGTCAAATCAGCCAGGCTGTTAAAATGTTATGGACCTGTGAACAGACAGCAAGCTTGAAAGGTGGGTTTATTTGGTTTGTTATAATCTCTGCTTGTTTACAGATTATAGGAGGACGTTGTCCATAGTGTTTGTGTCTTTAAAATGGTTTAAATTATTTTTTATTTATGAGAGTCTTGCTTTTCTAAAGACATAAGAAATATTTAGTCTTTTGGAGAGTAGTTTCTCCTTAAAGAGAGAAGTTTCCCCTTAAAGCATACTACGTTACCACAGGTGGACCGCGAAGAGCGGTGAGAGTTTGGCTTCATTGCAGTGGCTGAAGTCTCAGGGAGAGCAGGGCTCTGGTTGCAGTTGTAGATATTGTTGGTTATTTCCATATTGATGGGCTAAAAAGTGCAATGCTGTAAAAGCTTTTAGAGCTAAAGCTTTTTAGAAGCAGGAAGCTTTCTTCCAGACGAAGATAGTTGTAGAAAGGAAATGAGGATATATATAGTGGTTTGGGATCCTTTGATTGGAGGATCATAATTAGTTAATGTGGACCAGCTGGGTAAATCATGAGCACATGCTTCTCTCGAAATTAGTTTAAAACTAAACTTCACTTAAGAAGGAAAGAGAAAAACAAAGCATCACTGCTTGAATGTTTAGTAAATTTTTTTGTGAAAAATTATTTAATACACATCCGACTCAGTGTGCAAGGTTTCTGTGCATGACAGATGTTTAGGATACGAACACATACAGTAAACACACATAAGAAAATTTTGAACTTCAGTGTGCAAATTCCTTAATTCTGCAAAGCAGTTTAGTAAATATGTTCAATGACACATCTGGCCAACAAGTGATGTGGATGTTGTCACATGACTGAATTTTGGTTAATTTCCCCTGGTTCGGATGACTAAATGAACTGAAGAACCACAGGTGTGGAAGCATTCTTAAAGACAGATCTTTCTTTCTTCGCCAGTATCTTCAAAGCATTAGCTAGCCAGTTTTCTTTGATGTTGCTTGACCCCTAGACTAAGAGCCATGTTATGATGTTAGACACAGGCTGATGTTATGTAAGAGGAGTTCAAAGATGTTTTACTGTAAACTTGCTTAAGCCTGTTTGAACAGTCTGTCTTAGTGTCTCGCTCACCTCCTACAAGAAGTATGATGCCTCCAGTCATGGCCGTGCGAGTCTTGCGAACTTTGTCGTCAGCTCCACATGTGGTGCACTTCATGCCTATACTGGCCACACCGAGACCAGCAATGGACACAATGATCCCCACAATCATCAAAGCTCGGGTTGCTTGAAGGTCACCTGCAGGACATGGGTAGAGAGGGACGGAGTATCAAACAGATGCAGATACTAAAGATCTTAAGAAGGATAGCTCAACCCAAAATAAAACTTTAGGTGACTTTTTTTTTAAACGGTGGTCATTGCCTTTTCATAAAATTCAATTTAGTGGCTACTTTGAGATTCAAAAACATATACAGGCAAAAGAAAATTCATATACAGTATGTGGCTCCTGACTATACATTAAATTAATGTTCTATAAGTGAAATTGTTGATATGTGCAATAAATTTAACATTTTACTATCTTTTTGACTCTTGTATATATGGGCAGGGGAATCTAGGAAATTTCAAGTGTATTGTTTCTCCTTTTTATCTTCTTCTACAGACTGTTCAACCTCAATGAATCGGCAGGGGTCATGGGTATTTATTTGTTTTTGTCTGTGTAAATTTATTTTGTTGCCTGAAGGCATTGGCTAGCATTTATGCATCACTAAGTAAGTACTACAGTTTCAGCGAAACAATCTTCTCAATCTTGGATAAAAAAACTGGCAAATGGCCAAACCACCAGGAATGTAAATAATAACAAAAATAGTTGAATTTTATCTAAAGAAAATAACAGTTTCAATTTTCAAAGCACATAGTTGAAGTCAAAATTATTAGCCCCCCTGTTTAACCCCCCCCCCCCCCCAATTTCTGTTTAACGGAGAGATTTTTTTCCAACACATTTCTAATCATAATAGTTTTAATAAATCATTTCTAATAATTATGTATTTCATCTTTGCCATGATGACAGTAAATCATATTGACTAGATATTTTTCAAGACACTTCTATACAGCTTAAAGTGACATTTAAAGGCTTAACTGGGTTAATTAGGTTAACTAGGCAGGTTAGGGTAGTTAAGCAAGTTATTGTATAACAATGGTTTGTTCTGTAGGCTATTAAAAAATACAGCTTAAATAATAATATTTTTACTATTATATAATAACTAATTTTGACCTTAAAATGGTTTTAAAACATTTTAAAACTCTTTTTAGTCTAGCCGAAATAAAACCAATAAGATCGATCAGCCGGAGATCAGTATTGGCTGATAATCACCTTTTATGAACCTAACGGTTCTTACTAATGTGGCTGATCACATAAACTCATCTCAAGTGTTTGTTTACAAGCAGAGGAAAATGCATTATAAATTCTTATGCATCAAATATGCACTCTAAACTTTTTCTTCATTGAATTATTCTTCCATCATTTTCGATGTTTTAAAAAAACATAGTCATTCATTTTTCTTTTAATATGTTTTTATCTATTATTTTCTGTAAAGCTGTTTCTGACCGTGACGTGTGCACACTAAATGGTTATAAGAAACATGTTAAAATGATTATATGCAACATCCTTTATTTATTCTCTTAGAAAAGGAGAAAGCTACACTTAAGTGTCATACATGCAATAATAAAGTTATATAAAGCTTGAAGCATCAGAATCGGCATTCTGTATTGGCCAATCACCATTAAGAGAAATCGATATTTGGTATCGGCTTCAAAAATCCTGATAGGAGCATCCCTAATATAAATATAAAAATTAATATCTAAACATTCATTTTCTTGTCGGCTTAGTCCCTTTATTAATCTGGGGTCTCCACAGCGCAATGAACCGCCAAATTATCCAGCAAGTTTTTACACAGCAGATGCCATTCCAGCCACAACCCAATCTCTGGAAGGAAAACACACACACGCACGCACGCACGCACGCACGCACGCACGCACACACACAAACACACACAATTTAGCCTATCCAATTCACCTGTACCGCATGTCTTTGGACTGTGGGGGAAACCGGAGCACCCGGAGGAAACCCACGCGAAGGCAGGGAGGACATGCAAACTCCACACAGAAACACCAATTGAGCCAAGGCTCGAACCAGCGACCCAGCGACCTTCTTGCTGTGAGGCGACAGCACTACTTACTGCGCCACTGCTTCGCCCCAAATATCTAAACAATCTAAACAAAGATCTAAACTAGTGTCAGTCATACAACAGGCCAGACCACAAATAACTAGAGGTTTCTATAAAAATTGTATGTTAATAATGCATACAATTTGCTCAAAGCGATTGTGTGCCTTCTTTAAGATTGTTTCAGTGTCAGAGATTTGGGGTAAATACTTTCAGAAGAGGTGCAGAAATCTGTCAGATTTTAATAAAACATCTTTCACTTGTGCTTTAAGAAAATGACTGAATTCTCATTTTGGGGTAATCTTAATTTAATTACTAATTAAATTCTTGAAGTTGCAGTTTATGAAAGCAAAAACACTGCACACCCACTAACAAACCACTGTTAAGAAAGGAGGCCATTGTAAAGGGTCCATTTAAAATCTATCGCTTCGACAAAACCCCTGAAAGAGCAAGGAAGAAGCCATTCCAACAAGAACCAGTCTGTGCCAGTGCATTCCTGTACATGTGCACACAAAACCCACCAAGAGAGGGGCAGGGGTGTTAGCTGTAGTGAAGTGGAAGAATTATTCCTCTCCTTTATTCATTAAAGCACAATAAGGCATCTCTTGCCAGGCGCAGAAACACAGTCAGCTGTGGAATTCAGAGGGTCGCCCTTTATCCTCCTCCTCCCACTCTAATTCAACCTGCTGTCAGGTGCAGTTCCAGCCTGTTTCAACTGGAAGTTTCCTACAGTTTTCCAAGAAATGACCTCTGAACTTTTGTATTGAGCCCCACAGTAAAAACATCAAGATCAAGATTTAAAATCAAGATGGAGTAAACTACACTTGAGCTAAATGCCAATTTTGGAGGATCTGCACAATCTGTAATTGTCCTGGAAACTCTGAGAAGAGGTGTGAGATTGTGGTTTTCTATCCAAGTCCTTTGGGAACAGGGAAAGTTTGAGTAACAGACATAAACTGAAACAATCAATTCACAATTTATTATTGGTAGTTGGGTGTGTTAATAAAAATTCCCTGGCAGCTATAGAAACAATGGGCTTCATTTTTCCTGGAGAAGCACAGGCTCCCCTCCTGGTTACATTGCAGGCGTACAGTAGATTGAAACTCCCATATCCATTAATCAAGCGCAGACTGGAAACAGTAGCGCTGTTTATTTGAGTGTGTGTGTGAAGAACAGAGAGTTCCAATAAACACCTACTGTACATATTTACAGTATATTATAGGACAGGTGCTTTAAAACAATATAGATAATTAATTCCATACAAATGAGGTGTTTTTCTAATATTTGTGAATTGACATTTTTATTTTTGTCACATTTATTATTATGACTTATTCATTAGCCTAAAAAGGAATAGTTCACTTCAAAATGAAAATTTACTCATTATTTACTCACCCTTAAGTGGTTTCAAACCTGGTTTATGAGTGGTTTATGAGTTTGAACGCTAATAAATTATTAGAAGGAGGCTGAAAATCTGTAGCCATTGACTTCCAAAATAAATAAATAAATAAATAAATAAATAAATATGGAAGTAAAACTTTTTATTTTATTTTATTTTTATTTTTACAGACAAAAGAAACTCAAACAGGTTTGGGTCAATTGAAGCGTCAGAAAATGATAACAGCATTTAATTTTATTTGGGTGGGAGAACAACACCTTTAAGAAGTTATTTAAAAGTAACATGAAAAAAAACTGAATAATGTAAAACAATGTAATCTATAAGAAATATAAAACATTAATAGATGTTAATATGGATAAAAAATAAGTAACAGATAGATAGATAGATAGATAGACAGACAGACAGACAGACAGACAGACAGAAAGACAGACAGACAAACATATTGATACTCACTGTCCAGCTGCAGAATAGAGTCATAGATTTTGCACTGAAGTTGTCCGGTGCTCTGAAATGCGCAGGACATCCACAGTCCCTGGTAAGTGGCCACTGCGGTGATGATACTGTCTCCCACATACGCGGACATCTTCCACTGGGGCAGGATGGTGCCCACGATCAGTCCAATGATGCCAATCAGAGAGAGACCGAACCCAAGCAACTGAACGCCCGAGTTTGCCATTTCTTTTCGAAGCTTAAATGGCAAGCTGAGCAACAGTTTTCAATAAACTTTAGAGAAACGTCGATAATCCCTTATCCTGTCCCGCACCTGTTCCTCTCTGGAGGACCGCTCAGACTATACTGACGATGAAGCTGTGGAACTTTTCCCCCAAAACAAAACCTAGCAGCCAGTCACGCAGCTGGATGTGTTTATAGGCTACCGCGACACAGATGTCAACTGCAGCCGAAGTGTTGCATAAAATACAGATGCCGAAGCGCGTTCTCGAGGGAATGACGGAGGAACGGCTGTCTGATTGATGCGCGATTGTGCCATGCGGTGTCGTGACGTCACACCACGCAAAAACACTCACATTATATTACAAAATAAAAAGAAAGTGGAGGATAAGAAAGGATTTTGTTACTGAGATGTGGGGTTTCATACTAATAACGAGAACTTGAATTGTAAAGGGCAGCATATTTTAAATGAATATTATTAAGTACCAAATAGGTATAAGAAAAAGTGGGCTCAATGTAAACCAGCCTTTTCGTATTTTATAAACGTCTTTATATCTATATAATCATTTCTTAACAATGACAAAACCAAACCTTTCTCCTTTTTTCCCTTTGTTTTCAGGTTATTGAAATGCAGTGATGTTTCTTTCTTGTTGTATTTGTTGCATTCACTTAAAAAACAATTGGTTTTGCAACTCTACACGTCATTCATTATTAATACATTATATATTATTACTTGTGTGTGTGTGTGTGTGTGTGTGTGTGTATACTCACCAGCCAGCCAATCACATGGCAGCAATTCAATGCATTTAAGCATGTAGACATGGTCGAGACAATCTGCTGTAGTTTAAACCGAGCATCGGAATGGGGAAGAAAGGTCATTTAAGTGACTTTGAAAGTGGCATGGTGGTTGGTGCCAGACGGGCTGGTCTGAGTAATTCAGAAACTGCGGGTCTACTGGGATTTGCAAACACAACCATCTAGGGCAGGGATGTCAAACTCAGTTCCTGGAGGGCCGCAGCCCTGCACAGTTTAGTTCCAAGCCTAATTAAACACACCTGATCAAACTAAGTCCTTCAGGCTTGTTTGAAACCTACAGGCAGGTGTGTTGGAGCAGGGTTAGAACTAGGGCTGCGGCCCTCCAGGAATTGAGTTTAACATTCCTGATCTGGGGATTACAGAGAATGGTCCGAAAAAGAGAAAATGTCCAGTGAGCAGCAGTTCTGTGGGCACAAATGGCTTGTTGATGCCAGAGGTCAGAGGAGAATGGCCAGACTGGTTTGAGCTGATAGAAAGGCAACAGTAACTCAAATAACCACTAGTTACAACCGAGGTATGCAGAAGAGCATCTCTGAAACATAATTTGAGATTTTTTTAGGCTAAATGGTGTAAATGTGTTTTTTGTTGTTGTAAATAGTTTTGTTATAGCCGCTATTCTATAATTAATATTCTATAATTGAGATAAAATACCTTTTATTTGTGTGCTACGGGAATTGAACCACTTAAAGTAAAATAGATAAATTCCAGAAGCTTGATTTTTTACTTATAAGCACCTTACAAAACAAGCTTTAAATGTAATTAAATCTATCGGTGCTGGGCTGTTCATGGCTTTTTATGAGGGCACGTTTGTCACGTCTGACCATTCCATCAGGTGACCTCTGCATTTTTCAGAAAGGAGGAGAAAAAAAAAAAACCTGGAACTCTGTCAACTATTGTTTACAGTACAGAGTTGGCGCCAATGCTACAATGACTGCACAAAGGTAAAGAGGAAATATCTATAACCTGAGGAAAAATAGGACGGAAGCAATAATATTCTGTACAGAGGAAATGATTTTCTATCCAGAAATACCCGACATGCTTCAAAAGTAACACGATTAAAAATGACAATTTTTTTTTTATTATTGGCATCGATTTTTTTAAGCCTCCAAGTTTACAGGTGTGAAATGTGTCTTTACCTGGGGTTAAATGTGGTGTTCAGAATGACAAAAACCTGGTCAATGTTCAGACACTGATAGAAAATAACCAAAACAAAAATGCAGTGTCAAAAGCATAAAAAAATAATCTTTTACTGTTCTACTGAAGATAAAAAACACCTTAAATAGCATGTGGATGAGTAAATTAATATCAGATTTTACATTTTTGGTGAACTTTACAATTCAGGAATTAGTTTGAGAAGATGACACGCTGGAAAGGGGAATAACAGTTGGAAGATAGGAGGATCTTTGCTACAGTAACATCTTGAAATTACCACACAGTACCCCGGTCACCCCTGGTAACGTGATTTATCGGTTACCCTATTGGCCAGTTCCTGAGCTCTGGGCCAAGTAGCCTTGACACAGACACACAAAAGAAACTTTGACGGTCTTTTTCTAAGCTTCTGTCCACACCTAGTTCCAGTAAACAGACGACACACAGTATAGGGGGTGGGGGGGAGCAGACAGTGCTAAATCAGCCCAAAAGAAGAACAGAAAGTCCCTTCATGACTTTTTTTCTGGCTGGCTCCAGTGATTTTCTTGAAGTTTATAGACAGAGTGAAAAACAGTGATTAAACTGGTGTAAGCCTCCTTAGAAGCCCACTGAACCGTTAGCAATAAAACACACAGGCCTCTGGTTCCCCCTCAAAAGCAGTGACTCGGCTAATGAGCTTTTCTTATTTCATTATTTCTTACCGCTTTCTTGCGCTTCTCATATGCAGTTAGGTGCCTTCATGGAAATATAAGTACAGGCCAAACTGATGTAATCGAGGAATTCAAAGGTTTTTTTCCTATTGCAGATTATATAAGTGGATTATAATTGTTGTTCTGCTAAATATTAGTGTGGAAAGTGATTTTTGAAAAAATATGATTTCTTTGTTTGCAAGAACACACGACTTTAAATGTAATTTTTGATCAAATTAATATATTCTTGCTCAATAAAAAAAATCTTACTTATATACATTGTAAAAATTACTTTAAAAAGAAGTAAACCCATTGCCTTAAAAGTGACAAGTTGATTTTACTTAAAATTTTTTACTTCTGTTCCAACTTAGAACTATTAAGTTCACTTAAAGGTCCTAAAGTGCTTTGAAATGTGCATTTTTTATTCAATGTTAACACAATCTTAACTGAAACATGATGAGAAAGCGGAACATAGAGTAGCTCCTCCCGTTTTGAAAAACAGCCAATAGTGTTTTGTTTTACCTCAGCTCTGCCAGTGAAAGTGGTTGGGCTGAAGCGCATCAAATGAAAAGCAAATGAGAAGCTTCTTGATAGGGGCGAGGCATGTCACTTACTAGAGAGCACTTGATCAGTCAAGATTTGATGAGAAACTGTAGTATGTGGTGACGTGAATAAAACCGTTGATCTATTTAGGCAGAAGTGACAAATTACACGCTTTACATGTCGTATATCTCCTGAACATAAATTATGTCACTGTTTTGGAGCACACTAGCTTATTGATATCTTAAAATATAATAATACTGATATTAATTTCTAAAAACTTGATTTAAATGGGACCTTTAACTTAATTTTTATAATTATGCACTTAGTTTATTTACATAATCATTTTAAGGCAGTGCTTACTCATTTTTTTAAAGTCAACAAATCACTTTTTACAGTAAGAGGGAATGCAAAAAGTGGACTTTACATAACAGAATGAAACTATTTGAATTCAGCAGTCTATAATGTAATTTCAGAGGAAGACAGTAATTATATTTTGATTAATAATGTAATGTAAATGTAAAAATAAATGTATAACTTTAAACCTTTGTAACTACTATTTAAAAGAAACTACTCAGGCTAATTTTGATTACGTACCATTATATACATTTCTGGAGAGTGTCAAATATATCCAATGAGCTACGTTTTTTTTTGTGCAATTTTTGTTTTCGCGAATCCACCAGAGGCCACTGTGTATGCTTTTTCAGATCTCAAATTTTTCTTACAAGTGCCATTCGTGCCTGCTGTTCTCACATAAATCAACCAGAGGCTGCTGACTGACTGACTTATTGACTGACCCACCCTCTCCTCCTTCCCTAAACCCAACTGATAGTGTTTTAAAAAGAAAAAGAAAAGCCCTTGTGGCAGTCTGATTTTTTTACCATGTTTCCAGATTTTCCCACATTTTCACCTTGTTATTTACTTGTTTATTTGATTTTTTGCCTTTACCTGCTTTCTGAAACCATTGTTCACTGGACTCGAACCCCATCGACACAGTCAACTTTGCTCTGTGTCTCAAGTCTGTCGATGTACATGGCAAACTATTGGAAAAATTGGCTACATCGGGAAAGTCTTCCACACGGAGGTAAGCGATCAGCTGATAAGCGTAAAAAAGAACAGCATCATACCGCCCCGTATCGTTAATTTTAAAGACAAAATGCTGTACCTCTGGCTACATAATCTGCGATCTCCAGAAATGTATATATGGCTACATTTCCAGAATGAGTCTATGTTGAAAAGAAATTAAACAATGTAAAATTTCATGCCACTGTAAAAAATCCAGAACATCATTTGGACTAAAAATGAACTACATTAGCTACCTTTACCTAAAGAATGCTATTGTACGTTAAGCAAGTTTGTATTTTAAATTTGGGCTAAACATGATGCCCCATGTTTGGCTCTTAGCCAAAAATAAGTGGATTATTGCCATGACAAGGATTAGAAAACAATGATCAATAACTTAATTGATCAAAAATTTGATTATTTTTTGTGTTCTGAAAAAAAAAAGGCAATGAAGCAGCCATCAGGTAATGCTGTTTAGACGTGACTGGGCATCAGTTCATTAACTGTACCGTAGCAAGTCTGGCTAAGCATAGTTGCAGCATGCTTGTCAGATTTCATATCCTAATGGCTCAATGACGAGTCAGATACAGGAAGGATTTAACAAACCACTGCTGGCAGACAGACAAGAGTTGCACACAAGGAGAGGGAAAAAAAACAAACACCGGTATAGTTTTCACAATATAATTCTCTTGAACATGAGAGATGCCACGCTTCTTAAAGAGAATAACTGCAAAATGAACAAACATCAATTACATTAAAAAAGCAAGAATATACAAGCTCTCTCAATTTTATGAACAGCGAAACAAGAATGTGACAAAACAGGTAGCGTAGAATGTTTTCTTAATATTTCCCCTTAAAACAAAAGATAATTATACATTACATATAGAGTCAAACACAAAATCATTCATACCCCATGGCAAATTCCTTAAACCTACACAAACAGCAAT